GAAAATCCGAAATGATAAAACATCTTGGGAGGGCTTCTCCTCCCACCCCCAGCCCTGGCCCCCGCCCGCCGAGCCCGCTGTCCCCACCTCCCCTGCCCAGCGGCTCCGAGGAGGCGGGGTGCAGTGGAGCCTGCCAGCCTGGGCATCCTCTCCGCCCTGCCTCCAGGTGGCCGCCGTCTCCGCCGGACACCCTTGGCTCCCTCCACCCCCACTGGCCCAGGCAGCACCCACAGACTCAAGGCGGAGTAACCCCGAGGCCCGGCACGCTTAGTGCTCCCGGGACTCTCCTGGTACCCCTGAGCCTTTCTGCCCCTCGTCCCTCCCCGCCCCGCCCTGCCCTGATTTGGCCAAACAACCCAGGCAGCCGCGCCGCCAGCCACAAGGGGGAGCCCATTCCTCCCGGGAAGCCGCAGGGCAGGGAGAAGGCTCCAGGAAGGAGCCCGGCTGGGGAGAAGGAAGAAGACGCTCCTGAAGGAGGAGAACTACGTGGGGGCCTTTTCTTCAAATGCTAATCAGCGTCTTCTGGCAGCGCCAGAAGAGGCTGAGCTGATAATGAGCCCAGCTCGGGGCTGATTCTTGATTAATGAAGAGGTCACGGGGCTGCTGAGTGGGGCCAGGCGGGGCGCCTCCCTCATGACCCTCTCCGCTGCCCTTGCAGACCAGCCAGGTGCGACAGTAAGGCACCCTGCCCCGCTCTGCAAGACCAGGCTACCCGAATGCCCCTCCACCAACTCCCTTGCAGGAACCGTCGGGCGGGGAGCGCCCCCTCCAGGACAGCCCGAGGGAGGGTGGGAGTAAAAGGCGGCAGGACCTTGCTCAGTAGGAGCGTCCTGCAATCTGTGACTCAGACAAAATCAGGGAAAGTTGTATTGAAATGAGCAAGATTTAGGGTACCTCTCTCTCTCTCTTTTTGATCTTTTTTGAGATGGGGTGTCGCTATGCAGTTCAGGCTGGCCTTGAATTCACTTTGTAGCCCAGGCTGGTCTCGAACTAGCTCCCACTTCAACCGCCCGAGTGCTGGGATTACAGGAGTGCTGGGATTACAGGCGTGAGCCACCACGCCTGGTTTAGGGTATCTCTTGACAAATGTAAAACCTACCAACACAAGGCTCCCTAAGATGGGGCCTCAGTTAGTTGGAGTTGAGGGACATTTGTCCCCTTCAAGGCTAATGGATCCCCACTTTTCCCACTGTTTGACCTCACTGACCCATCCGGCTGGCTCCTGAGGCAGGACCAACACGCGCAGAGCTAAATGCACATAAGCTTTACACCCAGGTAAAGATGGGACCAGAGGGGACAGAGCTGGACAGGGGAGAGAGATCAGAGAAGCAGACACTAGGCTTGGGCCAACCTCAGCAAGAATCTCCTCCTTCCAGAACTAAGGGGGCACAGGGCAGCCTCGAGACCCTCACACCCCAGACCCAGTGGTGCGGGGACGAGGGTATGGAGTAGTTCCCTATCCATGGCCAAGAAGGGGCGGAGGTGGTCAGTACTGGACAGAGCATGCCAAAGAAGACAGGGGGAGAAAAGGAAGCTGGGCTGGAGGAGGGGATTGCCCAGGGGCCCCAAAGTGGGAATCCTGGTGGCCAGAAAGTGAAGATGTGCTCCCTTTGCCTCGGAGCTGTCCTGAGTGGCGGCTGGTAGGGCTGGGAGTGGAGGGAGGAGGGCAGGGAGGGGGACTGCCCAGCTGGAAGAGGCCTTGTCTAATTGTGCCTGATTAGTAGAGAGGAAGAGAACAGGGCGAGTGATTAATAGTCACGGCAGTCACCAGCCTGTGGGGAAGGTTCGGGAGGGGGAGGGAAGCCCAGGAGCCAAGAGGGGCTGGTGATAGTGAAGCAAGCACAGGCCCTGGTCTCCTGTGCCTCCGGGGCGGTCTAGATCCAGGGGACCCCCACAGAGAGGGGCAGAGAGGGGCGGAGTCCTACCCTTCTCTCCTTAAGAATTGCCTCCCTCCCCCAAACTTCGGTTTTACAGACAGTGGAATGGAAGGGAAAAGACCAAGGTTGTGTCTGCACCTGAGGAGATAAAGGATGCTATTGCATTCAGGGTATTTCAAGACACTGGTGCCCCCCACCCCTAGATACAGGCTCCATCTTCAGCCCAATCAGGGACCTCCGCCCAGAGGGTAGACAGCCTGATTTCCAATCACAGCCAACCATCTAAGTCCCTGGTCCCAGCTGTTAATTCCAGCTGTGCCCCAGCCAAGCAGCCTGAAGCTCATTCCTAGGATCCAGAGTTGCACAGTCCACGACAGCAGCCCCTTATTCCATGTGCCTAATCACATTGCAAATGCTCAGCGGCCACATGTGGCTGGTGACTGCCATGTTGGACAGCGCAGGCACAGGACATTTTTGTCATCCCAGCATTCAACTAGCACTGACCTAGAGGGTGTGGAGAGCGTGTGCATACACACACACACAAGCACACATGCATGCCGGTTTGGGAGAGTTGAGCAGAACACATCTGCATAGAGCAGGCTGTGAACCTGGGGGTCACAAGGTAAGAAGACTGGGTGACAGAGAGCAAGATGATGCCAAAGGAGGGGTCAGAAACTGGTAGGTGGTGTTGGGAACAGCTCCTGGCTGTGGTGGCAGCATTTGTAGCAGCTGACACTTACAGAATGCTATGGTGAGTGCTGGGTGGCGTGCCGAGCCCTTTACAGGCACCTCCTCAACCCTCACACAACCCCAAATGTTTAAGTTCTAATTTCCCATTTAATGACTGCAGAAATGGTTGCTCATAGAAGCATACTGGCTTCTCCAAGGCTACACTGCTGGAAGGGTAGAGCCAGGGTTCAAATCCAGGCGGTCAGGTGGCTCCAGAACTTATATACTTGACCCCTCCAGTGTACAGTCCTCCACGGAGAGGACGTGCTGAATTTCGGAGCCACTCTTCCGAGGTTCAGCTAAAGACATGAAGGCCAGGGAGAGAGTGATTTCCACCTTCTAGTCAGTGGGCAGGCTGGGAGTGAGCTGCAGCAGTGCAGGGAGAGCTGGGGCCCAGAGCCCAGGGCGATGGGAGGAATCTGGGAGGACTGGAGAGCCTTCAAGGCAGCAGCGAAGGGGGGCATACAGGTAATGGTGGAAGCAGGAGGATTGGTGGGTGTGGGTTGGTATAAGACTGAGCTGGAAGGGAAGGAGATGAAGAACGGGGCTGACTGGAGGCCACAAGGCCCCACCCCAGCCCTCTCCTCTTTCTCCCCTCTGCTCTCTCCACCTCACCAAACCATGGCCAGCTCTTCTTATCCTTTAAGCCTCCCCAGCCTGCTTCACCCTGGAGTAGCCTCTCTGTCTCTGAACTCAGGCTCTTACCATCCATGCACCTCATCTGGCAATTAATCTTGGCACCTTATGACACTGCTTGCATGGCTGATTAACTCTTGCATGGTTGCTTAAGCTTTTGAACATCCCTGTCCATGCTCTACCATGAGACTATAGGCTGCCTGAGGACAGAGACTGGAGACTAGGGCTTCCCTTCTGTGCTGACCCCCATAGTTCCTAGCCAGGAGCCTGATACGAAGTAGGTGCGCAACACTCCGTGTTTGTTGACTGACTGACTGGGAGTAGATGAGGGGATATTTGAGAGTGTGGGGGTGAGAGTGACTGCAGTGGTAACAGAAACAAGCGCGGCAGCTTAGGGGACTGGGGGAGGGCACATTACCCGGAGTAAAAATAGGCTGGAAAATGTGACATTTATTAACTTGGATTCCAGAGGAAAGGTCACAGCAGAGTGGGGAGTGGGAAGGAAGAAACAGAGAAAGCAACAGAAAACACACAACAGCCCCTTTCTTCCTGAAGCGGGTCGTTGTCACCATCCATTTCACCACCCACACACCCTGATAGGGCCCCCACGAACTGGCTCGTGTCCCCGTCACAGGCCCACACGTCCCCATCAGGGACTCCATGTCCTTCCTGCAGAGCCGACGGTGGACCTCAGTCCTCCCCGGAACCCTCACGACTTTACACACCTTTTCACGTCTTGCCTGGGTAACGCCCGCTTTCCATGGATCACAGCCCCATCCTCCCCTAACTCCAGACCCTGGTGCATTTGGATTTCCAGCTCAGCCCCAGAACGCCTGGTCCAAGGAGTTACACTCAGTGATGGTGACCAGGGTGTGGGTTAGCAGGGTGTGAGTCCAGGCGGGGCTGGGCTCTAGGGAGAAGGAACCCCAAAGGGAAATTCTGTCCCCTGTGATTACTTTGTCCCTAGAACTGAGACCCACAAACTTCCATCTTTCCCTCTCCAGCTCCAAGGTCCCAGAGCCTATGGGAAGCCCTTCCTCTCTCCTCCCAGGCCTCCCAGGATTCCCAGGGTCTCCCTATTCCAGTTGCCTCCAAGCATCTCTTCCCTTCTGATGTGACACTGAGTACTATCACTCTTCCCCTTTCCTGCCTGCCCCCAACCAGGGCTGGGGACACAAAGATCCCATTGATTCCTGCCCCGATGACAACTGCTGAGCCTGGCTTCCCCCCAACATGGAAGAGTGAGGCGACCCAGGGACCCTAAAGGCCACGCTCATATTCCGCATCCCACCTCCTCCCTGAGAGCTCTCTCAGCCTCACCTGGGGAGCGGTGATTTTTCCTAGAAGATAGGATGCTTAGCCAGGCTCCAGGGCCATGCCCCATGACTGCTCCCGGTACAGCCCTCTCCTTCCTGCTCTGCTTCTGCCCACTCCCCCTTTATAGCAGGGGTCCCAGACACTGCAGGCAAGGTGTGGGCCGGGAACCGCATGGGAGCACGTTTTCCAGGTGACACTGAGGCAGTGTGGGGGGCTGGGCCCCGAGGAGGGAAAGTCCCCACCACTGCAGGAGGCTGGGCCCAAATGGACACCATGTTGACACCAGGCATTTGCACACGCAGCTGACAATGACAAGGAAGGAAACACAGGCGCGTATACACAATGCTGGGAGTCAACCATGGACGGGGGACAGGCATCTTGAGCACCGTGAACAATAGATAGCTGGTGACTGCGGGTGAATGGATCCCTGACAGACAGACAGCGAACAAGACACCCCCCCACACACACTCGCACACCTGACCGTGGGAGGTGTGCAGGGCAGAGCAGCCTGAGCTGACACTCCACACGCAAGGAGGGTTGTGTGTTTGTGTTCACACATATGTGAGCAACTGCTCCAGCAGTCCTGGAGTGGAGAACCAGGAGCAGCAGCAGTGGCAGAGGTGGGGGGGGGGGGCGTGAGGCAGGATAGCATCTCCAGTGTGGCTCCATCTTTGGCATCTAAGAGCCAGGACATGGGTGAGGAATGAGTAGCTCTCCCGGTGCATGGGCGTGTGGGTGTGCAGGGGTGCACGTGAGTGTAGTGACAGGGACACTGTGTGTGTGTGAGAGGCAGTGTGTGGGAAACTGTGTCCCCGAGCAGGAGCGTGTGCCAGCACCGAGCGTGAGTTATGCACACAGAGTGAATCCCAGTGTTGGATCCAGAGCTGGGAAGGGGAGCAGCGAGAACAGGGAACAGAGGGGGGCCCTGGCAAGTGAGAGGCTGAGGGGTGCATGAAAGAGGGATGTGTGAGGGCGGCTGTGAGGGGATGTGAGAGACACAGGCACCCAGTGTCCATGAAGCCCGCTGCTGGGCCACTTCCCCAGAAAGCAGCCCTGAGTCTCTCCCTAGCCAGAGCCCCCCGCCTACCCCTCCTGTCACCTCGTCTGGTGGGCAGAAGAATCCAGTAGCCCCAGAAGAAAAGGAAAGCAAGTGCAAAGTAGGGCTCAGCCAGTCTGGCCTTGGGACAGTGCATCCCTTCCCTGCCAGCTGAGCAGCTTTGGGACCCCTGGGCTCACCTCGGAATGCCCCTGGCCCCAGCCTTGGGCACCACAGCAGCTGCAGGACCAAGAAGAGGAGCGGCAGCCCTGGGTAAGCTCCTAGGAGCGTCCACTCCTCCGGGGCTGGGAAGCCAGAGGGAAGCACCAGCTGGGGGAGACAGAGGCCCGCCTCTGGCGGCAGAAGGCAGGGAAGCCCTGTGGAGGATACCCTCACACACACCCCCACCAGCCTCTGGCCACCCCAGGCCAGGTGGCCCACCTGGCAGAACTCACCACAGAGAAGTTGCTGGCGGAGCAGTGGTGCCCACTGAAGTTACAGCTCTTGAGCATGTCGGCAAGCTGGTGGCCGGTGCGGTTGAGGATGTCTACCATGTCGGGTTCCGGGTAGCGAAGGCCAGCTGCACGGTGCCCATCCCGGTCTTTGGGGGGCAGCCCTGTCAGATTGGCCAGGTGGAAGATGTCAGCGTCACTAAGCGCCGAATGCCGGAAGCGGTTGATGTTGCAGAGGGTGACAGCTGGGAAGCCCGCCACTGGGGCTGGGGCAGCGGGGTCCAGTGCCACCAGGTGAGGCCGGGTCAGGTAGCCCCTGGCCAGGCCAACTGCCTGGTACAGGAAGGCAACCAGCGAGGTGAGTAGGGCCAGCGCCCACAGGGTTCTGCGAAGTCCATGGGGGCCTGGGCCACAGGCCCGGCCCAGCCCGTGGAGAGTGCTGGTGCTGGCAAAGGTAGCCAGGTCCCGGGGGGCTGCGGCCCCCTGGGCAGCCCCGAGGAGGCTCTGCTCATCCCCTGCCTCCTTCTCCTTGGGTTTCGCATCCTCCTCAGCAAATTTGATTTTGCACACAATCTCGATCGGCATCTGTCCCCGGCTGCTGGGACTGGCCAGAGCCTCCCTGCCCCTGTCCCTCCCTGGCCGGCAGCCCTGGTGCCCTCCGGAGTGGCGGTGGTGGCAACGGCTGCTCTTCTAAACTCAGGGCAAGCGGGAGGAAGACACGGGGACAGGGTGGGGGCCTGAGGTGGGGGTGTCACTCCCACTCCCAGCAGCTCCGCAGCCCTGGTGCTGCCTCTGCCGCTGCTGCCTCTGCTGCCGCTTGTCTCTCCTCGATCGTCTCCTTGTGGCTTCCCTTATCAGCACCAGCACAGCTGTCAGCCCCTGCGTGTGTCCCTGCGAGCGAGCGAGTGAGCGAGGGAGAGAGCGAGCGCTGCTCCGCCACGCCGAGCAGCCCCAGCCGCTCCGCTCAGCATGTGCTCCGGAGCCCACCCCGTGCTTAATAATTCAGGACATGTCAACAGCGTTTCACCGGCGGCCCGGGCAGCAGGAGCCAGGCCAGTAGAGGGGAAAACCCCCTGGCTCGGGGCAGGGATCCCAGCATTGGAACTGCCTCCCAAACTCTCACTGAACCCCAGGCACTGGCGGGGGGGGGGGGGAGGGCTGGATGGCCCACTCCCAGGACACCTAGGGCAAAGGGCTGCACCCACAGTTTTCAGCCCACTCTGTGCTACTTTTCTGGACCACACCCATAAGGGTCAAGCAACTCTGTCCCCCACCTCCTGGCCTCCCTGACACCTGACTCCTCCGGTGGCCACCTGATTCCACTCCCCCACTAACCACCAGTGAGCAGCTTTTCAAAACTCCTGGAGAGCCACTTGTTTGAATGAAGGAGAGGAAGGGAGAAAAGGGCACTGATCAGGGGACAGCGGTGACTCCAGCGAGGTGCTAGGCTTCTCTGGAGCATCACTGCCAACTTCAATGCCCACCACGCCCCTGCCCCCCCCACAAGCTCCCTCCCTGTTCCTCACTTTGCCCTCAGCCCCCACCTCAGGCCTCTCCTGCCACTGGAGCAGAGGGCACCCTGGCTGGTTTGCATATCTGTGGCCACTCTGCTTTACCAAATGTCCCCCAAGTCCGCTGCCACAACTAGGCTTGGGGGCAGGGGCCAAGAGGACAAGCCAGAGAGTAATGGGGATGTGTCAGAGGCAGGGCAGAGGGAGTGGAAAGGGGGGACAGGGCCAAGACAGAGGTGTGGTGGAGCAGGAAGAAGTGCAGGCTTCGCAGGGAGGGGACGCAGTGCTAAGGACACCCATGATGAAGATGATGATGATGAAGATGACGACAGTGATGCCGGGTGCCTTGTCCCCTGGGAAAGTGGAGCCTGGCAGTCCTGGGGGATGCTGTCTCCTGGTGGAGGGGCAGGTGGCCTGTGGCCTGTTGTCACAAGCAGAGGTGGGGAGCCTTTGCCTGGGCAGCAGGAGATGCATCAGTGCCCCCAGGATAGGGATGGAAGGAACAGTTACTTGTGCTCTGGGGGTCTGGTGTGTGAGTGTGAGCCCTTAGGGGGAAAGAAGCACTTTTCCCCCAAGGAAAGGGGGGGCTGATTAATCGGGGCACTAATGAGCAGCAGGGAGAGGAAGCTCTGAGGGGTGGGGGAGGTGGTTCCATCGATCCAAGCCTTGGAACCAGCAGCTGAAAAAAAAAAGTGAGAAGGGAATCGATCTGAGGGAAACGCAGCTGCTGGGGATTAGAGCCCGAGGTCCCCCCCCCCCCGCCCTGCCCTGGCAGCCACCCCTCCCCTGTGTCAGCCTGGCCCTGCAGTCTCTGCTTGGCCCCAAGAGAGGGGGCCAAGAATGCTCCCTTAGGAGCAAGGTGCTGCTCTGCTCACGTGGGCTACAGAGCCAGGTCAAGCACCCTCAGGGCCACCCCAGCAGGGAGCTTGCCCACACACCCAGTGCTGGCTTCCAATGGCACCTTGCTGAAGTTGTCCCATGCCTTTCAGCAGAGTGGCTTCTCTTCTCTCGGGTCCCACAGCTGGGCTTTCCTACATAAGCTTCTTATGAATTTGGGGAGAAGCACCCCAAGCTGGGAAGACAAGACCCTTGGATGAGGTGCCACCTCTGCCTGGGACACAGCCTCCAGAGGGGACAGTGGAGTTGCGGCTGCTGAGTTGGTACTCAGGTGTCAAGGGACCACAAGGCACCCCTTCTTGCTGCCCCTTTCCAGGCCCTCCAGCCTGTGTCGGCTTCCAGACCTTTCCAGAGTTCCCCCATCCCTCCTCCTCATCCTTTTTTCTCTTCCCCTTTCTCCCAATATTGATTTTTCTTTACTGGAGGTTTTTTTTTTAAAAGGTGATTTAATTGCTTTTTTAAGGTTACTTCAGTCTGGGGCTCTGCCAAGAAAGCGGGCACTTACCCCCAAGCTCTCCCCAGCACTTGCTGCTGCCCTGGCACCCATAGGTGTCCCTGAATTCTCCCGTCCTCTGCTAGGAATCTCAGAGTCACTCTCCCCAACCGCACATTGGCCTCTATAATGAGCCCAGGTCACACCCTCTCCACTCCAGAGGGATTCGAGAAGCCTTCGACCTCGAGAGGAATGAAGCTGGGTGGTAACTGGGCCTGAGGGCAGCACGGGCTGGGGATGAGTGCTGGGTGCTAGGAAGTGGAGCAGAGTTAGTTACCCCCTAGCAATGGCTGATTGCCAGCTGTCTCCAGTTGTCCCCAAGTACCCACCATCCAGTCTCCCAGGCCGCCAGGAATCTGGCAGTGCTTAGTGGGATCCCCGCCCCCCCCATCCTTCCAGCTCGTCTCTTGGCTTTTACCACACACTCCTCCCCAACCTCTTTGGCCCTCTTCCTTGCCCCTCTACACCCCCTTTGCCTCTGGTCCCCCACCCCGCCCCTGTCCCCGCCTCTCCCTGTTTCCCTGCCTGCCTCCCTCTCTGCCCGGCTGCAGTTGGGTGATAATCTCCCTCATTTAGCCTCCCGGCTGCTTCCCCGGCTCATTGCCCAGCTGGTCCCTGGGGCCCAGCCCAGCTTCTCCCCACCCCCACCCCAGCCCTGGGCCCAAGCTCTCCATCCCCCACTTCCTTCCCCCACCTTCTCCCAGGGGACCAGTGGCCCTTTGCAGGGGAGCATCGGGGCTCTGGGTGGCTGGCCAGGATTGGAGCTGAGTGTCCACCACAGGGCTGGGCCATTAGGGATCTGGGGCTGGGAGTGCAGGAGGGAGGCTGCTGTCTGGCCAGAGCTCCTCTGCCTTCCAATTGTTCCCATTCCCCAGATTTGTTCCCAGGCCAATTCTCCTGCCATCTCTGCTCCCCAGGGGATGAACTAGGGCCCAGGCAGCGAGAGGCTGGTAGATGGAGGCAGAGGTTAGAACAGGCAGGGCTAGGAAGGGGATGGGGTGGAGGGTAACAGGAGGGGAGGATGCAAAATCTTCAGGTACCTGGGAGGAGCCATGGAGGTTTTAAACTGACAAAATGCGCCAAAGGGAGACTTAGACATTGCCCAGCATTCATTCAATTTGAGGGGGTTCCGAGGAAGCCCCTCTCACGGGAGACCCCACGCTAAGCAGCATCTGCCCTTCCTGCCATGTTGCTCCGGACTCCCTGCCGGGCTGGCTCCATTCAAAAACCACAAGAATGACCCCTCAAGCCTCAAGCTCTCCAACAGCATTCTCCAGCGTGGGAGTCCCCAGCCGGCCTCAGCCAGCTCCCAGGGGACACCCCCTTGCCTCCCTCCTTGCCCCCAGAAACCCGGCCCTGGTGTGGAGCCGGGATGAGCCAGTGAGGGACAGATGTGGGCGGGGAGGGACAAGGATGGGGAGGCCAGGGCCGGCCAGGCCTGGCTGGCGGGCGAGCAGCGGTGACAAACGGGCTGTGCGGGGGCCGAGGGGCGGGGGGCGGACGGCGGCTGATTTATCTGGGTTATTTATGCCGCGGACGAGGCAGGAGAAGCGGTTAACGAGAGTCCCCGGCGAAGGGGGTGGGGAGTCCCGGACGTGATCTGAGGCGACTGAAGAGAGTTAGAGTCCCTTCGCCAGGCCCTGCCCCCACCCCGACCTCCTCGGGCCAGCCCAGAGCAGCCCCCTCTGCGAGGCCGGGGAACACCGCCCCTATCCCGCTCAGGGCCTTGGGCCACCAGGACTGAGGCTGACTGGGTCCAAGATCTGGGGGCACCTCAGGAGGGCACCAGGAAAGGCGGGCAAGAAGAACAGATTTCTGGCGAGCCAGACACTGACCGGGACTGCAGGGCCTGAGGGGAGGGCTGGGATGGGAGAGGGCGGTGTGGGAACGGGTGGGCTACCCACGGTTGGAGGCCGAAGC